TGACCCGGTGTTTAAGGCTAAAACATGGTCATTTCTGTCCACCACCCTTCTCACAGAGCCGTACGTAGACGTGACCCACAGCGAGGTAGAAATGACTAAGTTACATATGGACTATGGCAACGTCAACAGCATTGTAACAGCCCAATCCCACCACTAGCAGATATTGTCCGCTTTTGCCCATTACGTATCGTCATGAACCTCACAGTTTTAAAACGCATCTGCTATAGAGAGGTTTTCACATCCTTATAAGATATGCTTGGTTCCCCTCTCCAACCAAGGTAGGATCTCACAATCCACCCCTCTTAAGGACCCAGTGTTCTCGCTGACACACCACCCAATATCTGACTCCAATACCATTTGTAACAGCCCGAGACCACCGCTAGCAACTATTGTCCACTTTGGCCCGTTACATATCGCCATCAGCCTCACAATTCTAAAACACATCTACTAGGGAGAGGTTTCCACACCCTTATAAAGAATACTTCGTTTTCCTCTCCAACCTACATGGGATCTCACAGATAACATGTATACAATCCAAACACGGTATTTGAGTCGTAAAGAAAAGGGTTATTCCATCACTAAACCTCAATAATTGCAATGAAAATTGCTCTATCAACAGCTCATAAGACATCCCTAAACATATTATAGGAGGAATATACTGTATGGCTACTGTGTTTCTTATCAGAACAAATGTACAAGTATTAGGATGAACAGTCTCTTTTACCTTGGCCATCTACTTCAATCAGCTCTTTGTACAGAGGTTTTGAACAATAGAACATACAGCTTTTGGTCCATTGATAGATATAAGAACCCACCAATTGAATGAGTCACAAAGGACCCAAAACTTGTCCCCACGATGCAGTGCCAGACCGGGCCATAAGCCCCATCAAACTCCTGAAAGAATTACAAAAAACCCATAAAAGTTATTGGCTGATCATTCAAGAACTTGAACATTGCACATGAACCTTAAGCTAATTACCCTCTTGAGAGACAGAGCAAGAGCTTTAGAAGTGAATTTCTCCATACTGTCATGAGCTTTTCTTGCATAATTCACTGCATGAATCTGCATAGCCGGTGGCATGTCAACTGATACCACTTTGATGCCGTTCTTTGCAAAGATATCAGCCAATTCAACTTGGGAGGCTGCAAAAGACTTTGTTCTTCCACCCTTTCGAAGTAAGGACACTGTTGGTCTCATACTGTCAGGGTGATGCCCCTTTTGAAGCCCTTTCAATTCCTTCTTTTCATTAGCAAATTTCTGGAGGTGGGGTTTTGATTTGATCATAGAAGAAACAGCCACAAGGGGCTGATTATGGAGTTTGGGCAAGGAAGAGGGCTTAGGAGCAGCAGCGGCAGCCATGGCCGATTCAAGCTTCGGGCATGTGGGGGGATTGGCCACTGAATCAGGATCAGGAGGGGCTAAACGGGGGAGATGGCTGGTGGGTTTCGCCATGGGAGATCTGTGAGAGAAATGGAGATGAAAAACGAAAAGGGTGGGAATGTTTGGGGTTTAGAGAGATGGGAAGCCATTTTTGGATGAGGAAATGAATAGTGAAATTGTGTGTGCTGTGTTCATACCACTGCGTGATGCGTTTGACTGATCACACCTAACCCTTGCCTCGAATTCAACACAGCTTTGTTGAATTTGAATAGCTTAGCTTAATTAATTCCTCTAATCATGTTCTAATCACGTTTTCAATCCCAGATTTTGTCCCTAAGCAGCTCCCATTGATTGATGCCATTCCTTCTAATAAGCTTCACCTCCCCGGTTCTTTTCTTAATATTTTTATATAATATTTGAATTGTGTTATGTAGCAACTCAGACCAGATCCACCGATATTGTCCTCTTTGAGCTTGGGGACTTTCATTTTCGGGCTTCCCCTCTTCCTCTCAAGTCTTTAAAACGCGTCTGCTAGGAGAAGATTTCCACACCTTTATAAAGGGCGGTTTGTTCTCCTCCCAACCAATGTGGGACATCACAATCCACCCCCTTCGTGGCCAGCGTCCTCACTTGCACTCTTTCCTTCCTCCAATCGATGTGGAACCACCCCCAAATCCACCCCCTTTGGAGCTCAGTGTTCTTACTGGCACACCGCCCCATGTCTACCCCCTTCAGGGAAAAGCAAGAGTCTCACCCCCAAATCCACCCCTCTTTGGAGCTCAGTGTCCTTACTGGCACACCGCGCCATGTCTACCCCCCTTCGGGGAACAGCGAGAAGGCTAGCGATCCACTGCTAGCAGATATTGTCCTCTTTGAACTTTCCCTTTCGGGCTTCCCCTCAAGGCTTTAAAATGCGTCTGCTAGGGGAAGGTTTCCACACCCTTATAAACGGTGGTTTGTTCTCCTCCCCAACTAATAAGGGACATCACATGTTCGGCCAACAGATGACCCGACTCCCTCAAAGAATAGATGAGACGCATAAAATTTTCGTAGGTCGTTTTATTTTTTCCAGTAGGAATCAAACCAACATTAGTAGATCAAGCCACAAGCTTATAGACAAATAGAATTCGACTTTTTGTTACATTTATGATCAATAATACGACCAAATTGAACCATTCAATCCAAGTCATAAAAGTTGTGTTAGGTTGGCCCGTAAATTTCTATGGGAGTTGTTTGGGTTATCAGCTCAACCAATTCAAAATTTTAGATTGGTTCGAACGATTTTTTTTTTTAATCTAAACCAACTCATTAAATATCAAGTGTAATAGTTTAAGTCCACCGCTAGTAGATATCGTCCGCTTTGGCCCGTTACATATCGTCGTCAGCTTCACAATTTTAAAACATGTCTACTAGTTATTTAAACTTAACGAATGGTCTTGCTTGACCGACCTAAGATCGAGAGAGTTGTTTTTTATGACAACGTTCAGAGAGTTAGCACACAAGTTCTCGTTGACTCGTAAGAAGGACGTGTGCAGGCTAAGGTAGCAAACAGCGTTGAAATTAGATCAATCCACCATAATAAGACAACAAACATCGTAGACATAGTTTTAAGCCACTAAAATGGACATTTTCAAACGGAACAACCAAGACCTAAAAAAATAGTATTTAAAGTATTTATAAATTTAAAAAATAGCAAAATATGAAAATAAAAAATAAAAAATTTTATTATTTATTTTTTTGAATTAAAAAAAAAAGCAAGCAAATTCTACAAATTTTATTTTCTACATTTTCAATATTTTCCATTAAAATATTTAAATGAATTTCAGACTCAATAAATTATGAAAAATATGGAAACCACAATAATTAATTCTATTTATTTTTAGTTAACAAATAATTTACATTTAAAAATAAAAATAGAACAAGAAAAGGGCATAGAGAATGGCGAGACGGCAAGAAAGGTGAGAAGAATATTCCCATTTTATTATTATTAAATATTAATATTATTATTAAATAATAATAAATAAATAAAAACATAATCATTTGATATTCTTGTTTGGTTGGCTGTCTTTCTTGTCCTAAGACGTGCCAAATGACAACCACATCCAACAAAACCTCATATTATTGGTTTCCCCAACCCTGTTTCCAAACAACCCTTTTCTACCCACCTTCCTTTATTTATATATTTATATATTTATATATTTATATATTTATATATTTATATATTATAAATAAATATTATTAGATTAGCCTAACCCATAAGATTTTCCAATAATACTAACGTTTAATTACTTTACTCAATATTCTATTTTGTCCTTTTTCTTTTGGACTTTTTCTTCATATTCATTTCATGAGTTATTTATTTATTTATTTATTTATATATATATATATAGTGACAGCCCAAGTCTACCCCGAGCAGATATTGTCCTCTTTGAGTTTCCCTTTTGGATTTCTTCTCAAAGTTTTTAAAAACGCGTATGCTAAGGAGAGGTTTCCATACCCTTATAAGAATGCTTCATTTTCCTCTCTAACTGATGTGGGGTCTCACAATCCGCTCCCTTTTGAGACCGAGTGTCATTGATGACACTTGTTCCTCTCTCCAGTCGATATGGGATCTCATAATTCACCCCGAGTTTGAGACTAGCGTCCTCGTTGACACTCGTTTCTCTCTCTCTAATTGATGAGGGATCTCACAGTCTACCCCTTTTAAGGCCCAACGTCCTAGCTTCTTGCAGTAAAGACTATCTCCCATGGACTAAAACGAGTGCTCCAAACAAAATATGCTTAACTTTAGAGTTTTTATGATTAAGCTACTGGAAAGGAAAGTGCACTTTGTTGACATAGATATTAACTTCCAATTCTTTTAACATTTCTTAGTCATTCTATATTTAGTATCACTTTTATTATTCCTCCCAGTTCATTTATGTCTCTCTCTTAGACAAACAGATGAATTCTCTTACTCCACGTATCTTTAAACTCAAAAGAAGCAAAACCCAGTTATATTTGATCGTATTCTTAGTCAAACACGGATTAGACTCGACAAGCTCAAATCTGTTCATATTTCACTCGTGAACTCAGCTGGGTAAACTCTACTAGTGTGACAATCAAACTGATGAACTCTCTTATTCCACGTATCTTTAAACACAAAAGAAACAAAAACCCAGTTATATTTCATCGTATTCTTAGTCAAACACGGATTAGACACGACAAGCTCAAATCCGTTCATATTTCATTCTTGAACTCAGTTGGGTAAGCTCTACTAGTATGACACTCAAACAGATGAACTTTCTTACTCCACATATCTTTAAACACAAAAGAAACACAACCCAATTATATTTTATCGTATTCTTAGTCAAACACGGGTTGGACCCCGACAAGCTCAAATCTGTTCATATTTCACTCACGAACTCAGTTGGGTAAGCGAATTTGAACTAAAAATCAAAACTTTTTGAAACAAAATGAATAGATTGAATGAAAGAAGTTCACCAAACGGCACAAAAAAGAAGCAAAAAGGGGCTTAGAAGGCAACAAAAACAAGAAAAAGAGTGAAGGAAAGCGACGAGGAGGAGCCGTTGGGTGGAAACAACACTATATAGAAAGCTGACTGAGACCAAGTCCACCTCCTCTCATTTTCAAATTCTCATTGGAAGAAGATTCCATCTGTTTCCGTTGGAAAGCCATTGCTTTTTCTTTCAAAAGTTTTCATCATTATTCTTCACGCATTTAAAAATCAAACCCCATTATTCTATTCAACCCATTCATTTTCCTCCATCTTCTTCACCGACTTCAACACCGTTCTTACGCGCTTATATTCATCGGACCCGAGTTCTTTCCCCCTTTTTCCTTTTTGATTTCAATTTTAAGAACATTTTGAGTGTTGGGTCTCTTTCGATTTCGCAAAATTTTAAGAAATTTCTGTTTAGAATCGCGTTAACTGTTCATCTGGGTGTCTTTTCCCCTAAAAGAACGAAGAAGAACAGTTAACAATCGAGGGTTTTCGATTAATCCAATCGATTTCAAGTTCTTCTTTAAGGAAGATTGTTGTTCTTCTTTCTTTTCCGGGAGTTGAAGGTGGGGTATCTCTGTAAATCCCTACCTTCAAACTAGAAATGAAGAGACCCAAATCGGAAAAAGTCGATATGATCGTCTCGTTAACGAGACAGAGATCGATTCAAATCCTTTTGTTCATCGGATTTCTGTATCTCCTTCTTGTTTCTTTAGAGATTCCTCTTGTTTTCCGAGTTGGGTCCGGCGTAGTTTCTCCAGATTCTTTATCTCGCCCTCCTCCGCTTGAGAGCGAGGAAGATTTGGAAGAACGAGAAGCCCCATCTCGCCCTTTGGAGAACATATCTAGAAATTCATTACAGCCGACTCCAAGTCGACTAACTCAGTTCAATAAAATCATTTCTGGGTTGGCTTTGGAAACGGAAGCGTTCGAATCAGGGCTTGAAGATGCAGTTTCTGAGTTCTACAGGTCTGCAAAGATTGCTTCCGAGGTGGGGAAGAAATTCTGGGATGAACTTGAATCTGGAAAGATTCATCATATAGCGAAGAAGAAGGCTGAAAAAGAATCAAACTCTTCTTGCCCACATTCAATTTCTTTATCTGGGGTTGAGTTTTTAGCTCATGGTGGTGTTATGTTGCTGCCCTGTGGGCTCACGTTGGGATCCCACATAACGCTTGTGGGTAAGCCGAGAGTTGCTCATCCTGAATATGATCCTCAGATAACTATGGTGAGAAATGGTGAAGAATCTGTGATGGTTTCACAGTTTATATTGGAGTTGCAGGGCTTGAACACTGTGGAGGGTGAAGATCCTCCAAGGATTTTGCATTTCAATCCAAGATTGAAAGGGGATTGGAGTGGGAGGCCTGTGATTGAACTGAATACTTGTTACAGGATGCAATGGGGCTCGGCGGTTCGATGCGAAGGCTGGAAGTCGAAGGCCAATGAAGAGACAGGTATTGTGAATATTGATATCTTTTGTGGGTTTGTAGCTTGCCAGAGCATTGGATTTTGCTGAATTCATATGAACAAAACATTGATTTTGCTAGAGTTTGGTCTTTTGATGATGTTTTTGTGATCATTAGGCTCCTGTTATTGTGTTCTGTTTCATTTAGTCTGTATATCATTACAATGTATTGTTGAATTCTGCTTGGTTGTTGAGTGCATTATGGATATTGTTCTGAATCGTGATATATGTAACGACCCAAGCTATTGTCCTCTTTGGGCTTCCCTTTTTAAACGCGTTTGCTAAGGGAAAGGTTTACAACTGAATGCTTCGTTCTCCCACCTCCCTTCAGGGCTCAGCGTCCTTGCTAGTACTCGTTCTCTAATCGATGTGGGACCCTCCTAGTCCACTCCCCTCGGAGCTCAGTGTCTGTGTTGGTACACTGACTCATGTCCAATTGTGAGACCCCACATCGGTAGGGGAGGAGAGAGAACGAAGCATTCTTTATAAGGGTGTGAAAATATCGGTTAGCGGTGAGCTTGAGTTGTTATTAGTTTGAGTAATTCTTAAAATTTCTACAGTTGATGGCCAGGTGAAATGTGAAAAGTGGATAAGAGACGACGAGGGGCACTCAGAGCAGTCGAAGGCGACGTGGTGGTTGAACCGACTCATTGGCCGAACAAAAAGAATGGATATAGACTGGCCTTTTCCTTTTGCTGAAGACAAGCTCTTTGTTCTAACGCTTAGTGCAGGCTTTGAAGGTTACCATGTCACTGTTGATGGGAAACATGTTATTTCGTTCCCTTATCGAACTGTGAGTAAAGAAATGATCGATACCGATACGTTTACCGAACGTTTTTCTTCCTTCCCTAATGGCTGTTTTACAGGGATTTGCCCTTGAAGACGCCACTGGACTATCCGCCATTGGAGACATTGATGTTCAGTCTGTGTTGGCTGCTTCTTTGCCAAGATCACATCCTAGTTTCGCGCCTCAGCAGCACCTCGAGAAGTCGAGAAGGTGGCAAGCACCGCTTCTTCCTGATGGCGAGGTAGATCTTTTCATCGGCATTCTCTCTGCTGGCAACCATTTCGCCGAGCGGATGGCCGTAAGGAAGTCTTGGATGCAGCATAAACTTATAAAGTCGTCAAGGATTGTAGCTCGATTCTTCGTAGCACTTGTAAGTAACAACAAGAACAGTTCTTTCTCGTTCGAGTTCACGTTAATCTGCATCGTTACATTGATATAACCGTTTCGAGTTCATATCTATGCAGCATGCACGAAAAGAAGTAAATGTCGAGTTGAAGAAAGAAGCCGAGTTTTTTGGTGATATAGTCATAGTTCCTTACATGGATAACTATGACCTTGTGGTTTTGAAAACTGTGGCCATCTGTGAATATGGGGTGAGTTTTTTTTAGCTGAAATATTGATACGAAGAAAAGTCGTCTCGTGATTAATCCTGTGAATTCGATATTGTTTACGTAGGTTCGTGCTGTGTCTGCAAAATATATTATGAAATGTGACGACGATACGTTTGTAAAAGTAGATTCGGTTATGAATGAAGTTAGGAGTGTAGCTCGAGCTGGTAGCGTTTACATTGGCAACATAAATTACTACCACAAGCCCCTGCGCTACGGAAAATGGGCTGTCACGTACGAGGTATGTTTCGTGTATATCTTGACCTTGTATATCTAGTGTAACAACCCAATCCCACTGCTAGTAGATATTGTCCTCTTTGGGCTTTTCTTTTCGGGCTTTTCTTTTCGGGCTCTCCTTCAAGGTTTTAAAACGTGCATGTTAGGGAGAGGTTTTCACACCTTTATAAAGAATGTTTCGTTCCACTCTCCAACCGATGTGGGATCTCACAATCCACCCCTCTTTCGAGCCCAGCGTCCTCGCTGGCACACTGATCAGTATCTGGTGCTGATACCATTTGTAACGGGCTAAACCCACCACTAGCAGAAATTGTCTTCTTTGAGTTTTTTGGAGCTTCCCCCTCAAGGTTTTAAAACGTGTATGCTAGGGAGAGGTTTCCACACCCTAATAAAGAATGTTTCGTTCCCCTCTTCAACCGATGTGGGATCTCACAATCCACTCCCCTTTGGGGCCCAGCGTCCTTGCTGGCACACCGCTCGGTATCTGGCTCTGACACCATTTGTAACGGGTCAAACCCACCACTAGCAGATATTGTCCTCTTTGGGTTTTCTCGGGCTTCCCCACAAGGTTTTTACAATGCGTATGCTAGGGAGAGGTTTCCACTCCCTTATAAAAAATGTTTTGTTTCACTCTCCAACCGATGAGGGATCTCACAATCCACACCCCCCTCTGGGACCAGCGTCCTTGCTGACACACCACTCAGTATCTGGCTTTGATACCATTTGTAATGGGTCAAACCCACCGCTAGCAAATATTGTTCGCTTTGTGCTTTCTCAGGCTTCCCCTCAAGGTTTTAAAACGTGTATGATAGGGAGGGGTTTCCACACCCTTATAAAGAATGTTCCGTTTCCCTCTCCAACCGTTGTGGGATCTCACAATCCACCCATCTTTGGGGCCCAACGTCCTCGCTGGCACACCACTCGATAACGGGTCAAACTTACCGCTAGCAAATATTGTCCTCTTTGGGCTTTCTCGGACTTCCCCTCAAGGTTTTTAAAACGTGTCTGCCAGGGAAAGGTTTCCACGCCCTTATAAAAAATGTTTCGTTTCCCTCTCCAACCGATCTAGGATCTCACATCTAGATGGTTGCAAAGACACGTTTTTATCTATCGAGACAAATCAATCAACATAGACTCGTTATCTTATGTTTCAGGAATGGCCAGAAGAAGATTATCCACCCTACGCAAATGGACCGGGGTACATCGTGTCTTCCGACATTGCTCGTTTCGTGATATCAAACTTCGAGAGACGTAAATTAAGGGTATGTTTGATTTTTACGAGCAGCACCTCGAGCTCGAGTTCTTTGCATAAAACATGAATTCAAAAGATTGTGTTGTTTCTTTGAACAGTTATTTAAGATGGAAGATGTGAGTATGGGGATGTGGGTGGAGCAATTCAACAGCTCAAAAACAGTGAAATATGTGCACAGTTTCAAGTATTGCCAGTTTGGATGCATAGAAGAGTATCACACAGCTCATTACCAATCTCCCAGACAGATGATTTGCCTCTGGAACAAATTACAGAGACGAGTGAAACCCGAGTGTTGCAACATGAGATGAACACGAACACGAAACCAACCAAACCGCACCGAACCGAACCAATGTTCGGCCCTCGTTGTTACCTGCAGTCAACACCATTTTTTTGACTGCTGCTTGCACCCGAGCATGAATCCTGCCCTTGTATTTTGTCTCGAGCCTTGGTTTTAGGTAATTTTTTTAGTTCATGTAGAGAAGAAAATATTCCAAATATCAAATTCATTATTTCCCGAGCCCTCTTTATCTTATGATTAAATTAATAAAAATACCTAAATTAATAAAAATACGGTTGAAATTAATCTTTAAAGTTTAAGGTTATTTTTGAAACAATAAAATAATAATAATAAATAAATAAGAGGGAAAGGACAATTCGGCTAATGCTCTTTGGTTGAAAATTAAATTCATGGACAGTACTTTTTATGTGTTTCTATCTGTCGTTATCTACTTTTAATATTTAATATTTTAAGGGCTAAAAAAATAATTTAAAAAAAGTTTGTTTTTGTTTTTTAATTTTTTCTTAAAAAATATAAAACTCATTATATAGATACAATGTATGAGATCGCACGTAGATTAAAACAAGATATTTTTACAATGTGTGTAAACCTCTTATTTGTAGACCCGTTTTAAAATCATAAGGTTGACAACGGTACGTAATAGACCATAGCAGATAATGTTTACTATTGGTGGGCTTGGACTGTTACAAAAGGTATCAGAGCAAAACAAAACAGGTCGTAGCAGACAATATCTACTATTGGTGGGCTTGAACTGTTACAAAAGGTATCAGAGCCAACAAAACAGGTCGTAGCAGACAATATCTACTATTGGTGGGCTTGAACTGTTACAAAAGGTATCAAAACCAAATAAAACAGGTCGTAGCAGACAATATCTACTATTGGTGAGCTTGGACTGTTACTAAAGGTATCAGAGCCAAAAAAAACAAGTGGTGTGAGAGTGAGGATGTGGGCTTGGACTATTACAAAAGGTATCAGAGCCAAATAGCAGGCGAGTGAGGATGTTGGGCTCAAGGTGGATTTTATGAGATCTCACATCGATTAAAGAGGGAAACACAGCATTTCTTATAATCTTACGAGGGTGTGGAAATTTCTCCCAAGTTGATACGTTTTAAACTCGTGAGACTGATGGTGATATGTAACGAAGCATAGTAGATAATATCTGATGTGACAATTTTTAGGGGTGTCACCAAGTCCAAAAACCCGACCAACCCGAACCTTATGAACTAGGTTAGGTTATATAGAATATTGGGTTTGGTTAAGTTATTTTTTGGAAACGGAATCGAACCCGTTCAAAGAAAAAAACTTTGAGTCAACCTAAATCGAACCCGATCAAAAAATAATAATAATAAATAGTGTCGATAATAAAAGACTTCAATGAGTCAATGAAAAGCAGTGCCACTAATGGGAGGATGACACGTGTCACAATTAGGTAATGACGTCGCTAATTTGTCTATAAAATTGTGGCGCTTAATGTTTTCCTCCACACTGTCCAAAATTTCCAACTCGTCGTCTTCTTCTTCCTTCTCGTTCCTCTGCTTACATACCGTAACTCCATGGATTTCACTTCTACAAGGTCGAAGAAGAATGGAACCTCAAATTCCAATGACTCTGACGGCCGCGACAGCAGAGCGGTAGTCAGAAGGAGGCCGCCGACGATAGCGGAGCTTTTGGCATCCACAAGCTCTACACTCGCGACGATCATGTTCACGTGGACGATCATCCGCCAGTACTGCCCTCACGACCTCCGCCAATATCTCCATAGATATTTAAACAACTTCATCGATTACATCTATCCTAATCCGTACGTTCGAATCGCAATCTACGAATTCGTTGGCGAACGCCTCAATCGAAGCAAAGCCTTCGCAGCGGTTGAATCTTATCTGAGCACTAAACTTTCAGATGATGCGAAAAGACTCAAAGCCGAGGTCGGGGATAACAAGAACAATTTCTCACTGAATATAGACGAGTACGAAAAAATTACCGATGAATATGAAAACGCCGAATTCTGGTGGACTTTGAGCAAAATCTCTGGATCGGCAAAGAAATCTACCTCTCTGTATCCAGAGCCCGATCGGAGATACTACCAACTTAAATTTCATAAGAAGCATCGAAACCTTGTAACTGAATCGTATTTGAAGCATGTACTGAAGGAAGGGAGAGAAATCAAAGTGAATCGAAGGCAGAGGAAGCTGTACACTAATGGAACTGGAAATCGATGGACGATTCACCGGCAATCGACGATGTGGAGCGAAGTGTACTTCGAGCATCCTGCTAACTTTGATACAATCGCCATGGATCCAGAGAAGAAGCAAGAGATTGTGGAAGATTTACTCACATTTAGGGAAAGCAAAGATTATTACGCTAGAATCGGCAAAGCTTGGAAACGAGGCTACCTTCTGTACGGCCCGCCAGGGACGGGGAAATCGACGATGATAGCCGCCATGGCAAATTTGCTCAACTACGACGTTTACGATTTGGAATTAACGGCGGTGAAGGACAATACAGAGCTTCGGAAGCTTCTAATTGAAACGACGAGTAAATCGATAATCGTTATCGAAGACATCGATTGTTCACTGGAACTCACAGGGCAGAGGAAAATCAAGAAGGAAGAAAGCTCGAAAGATGAGGAGAAAGTGAAAGAGAAAGAGAAGTTAATTAAGGAACATTTGAAGAGAGAAGAAGAAGAAGTGAAAAGCAGAGTGACTCTGTCTGGATTGCTGAATTTCATCGACGGAATTTGGTCGGCGTGCGGCGGAGAGAGGCTGATCGTTTTCACCACAAATCACGTGGAGAAGCTCGATCCAGCGTTAATTCGAAGTGGACGAATGGACAAACACATCGAGCTCTCTTACTGCACCTTTCAAGCCTTCAAAGTACTGTCTAAGAACTACTTGAACATCGAAACACATGAGCTTTTTGAGGAGATTCAAGACCTTATCAAAGGAGCAAAAATCACGCCGGCGGATGTTGCAGAGAATCTCATGCCGAAGTCCCGGCAAGAAGCCGCTGAGAATTCTCTTCGTAGGTTGATTCGTAGCCTGGAAGAGCTGAAGCGCGCGGCGGAGATTGAGTCAACGAAGGAAGAGAAACGGGCAGAAAAATCAAAAGAATCTCCAAAATCAATAGCTGTTCTTGAAAGTGTGGACTGATTGGTCAGGATTTTGGCTTGCGGAGCAAGGCAAGAAAATGGTGACGAGCAATGAAGAAGGAAAATGGTTAGATCTTTCTTCTTCAATCTATCTATATGTTGATTTGGTTATGTTTGGGATTTATTGTCTTATGATATAAATATATTAAGAAATATAGTTTCGAGATGAATTTAGGCACTTGCTTGTGAGATTATATACATGATTGTCAACGTGCATTGCTCAATATCGACATGTTAATATACATCAATTTAAGATTGTCAATTTAGAAGGCACAGTAACATGAACTGATTGACCTGAAATTGTTGAGGAGAGATCTTTGAGCATAGTAAAAAAATGACAGAACCATTGATCAAACCAACCAATCCGCATTGTCTCAATTAGATTTAAATGAGTATCTCGTATTTACCTATCATAGTGTCTAATAAAGTTTCATCTAACTTTATTTAACAACCTTGTACTTGCTTGTCAAACGCATTATTTCATAATAGCTCCGAAAAAAAAGTAGTTTCATTTTCTTCCAAAAACTTCATCAATTGTTATCTTTGAGCTTCCGGAAGCTTTCCACATCCTCACCCAAGCCACCGCAACTAGCAAATATTCTCATCTTTGGACTTCCAAGAGGTTTCCACATTCTTGCTCAAGCCACCGTAGCTAGCAAATATTGTTCTCATTGGGCTTCCGAGAGGTTTCCACATTCTCGCCCAAGCCACCACAGCTAGTAGATATTATCATCTTTGAGCTTCCAAAAGGTTTCCACATTCTCGTCCAAGCCACTGCAGCTAATAGATATTGTTCTCTTTGAACTTCTGAAAGGTTTCCACATCCTCGCCCAAGCCACCACTGCTTATCGATATTGTCTCCTCTTTAGACTTCCAAGATGTTTTCCCATCCTTACCCAAGCCATTGCAGCTAAAATAGGTGAACTTGCTAGAATGCTGTTTCAGAAATATCGGTAACTGGCTTAAAAAGCTCTATCCTAGCAGTTATTATCCTCTTTGGGCTTCTCCTCAAGGTTTTAAAATGCATTCACCATGGAGAGGTTTCCACACTCTTATAAACAATGTTTTGTTCCACTCTCTCACCGATGTGGGATCTCACAACTATGCTTCACACCGTTCATTCTTACGCGTAGATCCCAACTTATATATAATATGGGAGAACAAAGAAGTGGCAGAGATATGGTAATATTTAAAATTTTAAACCTCTATTGACCAAAAACAAGTTCTAAACCATAACAATGCACAAAGTACTTCTTATTGGAGCAAATCTTGAGGGTGATTCTCTTATGATATGGATGCCTTATACATTATACATTCTATAGGTTCCACAACAACAATTAAGAGCTTCACCAAAAACAAATCCTGTCCCAAAATCCCAACCAGAAAACTATCTCACACAACAACTAAGTTATGATAAACTCAAATCAGTGGAAGAAACCAAAGAAAGAAGAAGAAAAAGAGCCAGATTTCTTCCCAATAGTACATACCAGTGCCCTTCCATATCAACCATGTAGTCAGCCACAAGTGAAAAGCAGCAGCAGTAGGAGCACCAGGCAGCTCCATGAGTTCGTTGACCGACTTGCTCGAGACGGAGGCGACGGCGTTGGACTCAAGCTTCCAACTGTTGTTGTTACGTTTTCCAACGAGCAAGTGTATTTACAACGACTTGGCGGGACGAACCTGTAGACTCCGCTGCTGGTTAGAATGTAAATGTCCTTGTCATTGTCCTCACCAAATGAAAAGACATAGCCCAAAGCTGGAAGAGGACTTCCTGGAGTGGAACTACAAGGTATGGGAGAATCAGGAGCACAACTGAAAGGAATATCATTTGTGGTAAAGTTCCCACTGTTATTTGGGGTTTCAGTTCCTGTCCAAATAGCAGAAGCATACAAATCTGCATACAAGTACCTGCTCAATAAGAACACATTGAGCCTATGAATACTTGCATTGTCCTGAACAAGGTCATTTCAGAGACTATGAATGCATATAAACATACGTACCTTCCGTACAAACACGGATCGGTGTTAGACCGATAGAAATAACCCCCTGTTATCGATGCCGAACCTGTGTTCTTGTTTATGGAAGAATGGTTGTAGCCCATCACAGGAAAGATTGGATTTATGGCATCTATAGGTGTGGATTCTTTAGGGGATGAATTCGGAACGAACAAAAGAGGACCCTCATAAACACTCCAGCCATAGTTTCCACCCTTTGAGATGATGTTCACCTCTTCGAATCGATCCTGTAAGAACAGGTATAGCAATTATTTGAAGTGTTGTTCAAAATGAGTAGCATTATGAACATTCTAATGTAAGTGGGATATTCAAACCTGCCCAACATCTCCACACATGAAGTAGGAAGGTCTTTCTGAATCGAAACTGCATCGCCAGGGATTTCTCAATCCGTAAGCCCATATCTCTGGCAGTGCACCTTGATCTTCAACAAATGGGTTGTCTTTAGGAATAGAATAGTTTCCCCATAGATCAAGTTTATTAATGTCTTCTGAACCTGTACATACAAAAATGAGAACAGTATGAGGGGACTCACGTGTTTGAATGTATCGGAGAACAGTCAATGGTATAATATTGTCCACTTTGAGTATAAGCTCTCGTGGCTTTACTTTTGGTTTCCAGAAAAGACCTTATACCAATGGAGATGTATTCCTTACTTATAAACCCATGATCGTTCCCTTAATTAGCCAATGTGGGACTTCCTCCCAATAATTCTCAATAATCCTCCCCTCGAACAAAGTACATCATAGAGCCTCTCCTGAGGCCTATGTAGCCCTCAAACAACCTCCCTTTAATTGAGGCTTGACTCCTTTCTTTGGAGCCCTCGAACAAAGTACACCCTTTGTTCGACACTTGAGTCACTTTTGACTATACTTTGAGGCTAGCAATTTCTTTGTTCGACACTTGAGGATTCTATTGACATGGCTAAGTTAAATGATATGACTCTGATACCATGTTAGGAATTATGGCCCTCCACAATTGTATGATATTGTCCATTTTGAGTATAAGCTCTCATGGCTTTTCTTTTGGTTTCCTCAAAAGGGTTCGTACCAATGAAGATGCATTCCTTACTCATAAACCCATGACCATCTCTTAATTAGCCAATGTCAACAATCCTCCCTTCGAATAAAGTACACTATAGAGCCACACCTGAGGCCTATGTAGCCCTCGGATAGTCTCCCCTTAATCGAGGCTCGACTCCTTTCTTTGGAGCCTTCAAACAAAGTACCCTCTTTGTTCAACACTTGAGTCACTTTTGACTAGCAATTCCTTTGTTCGACACTACATGGCTAGGTTCAAGGGCATGACTCTGATACCATGTTATGAATCACGGACCTCCACAATGGTATGTTATAACTTACTTGGAATGTTATTGATATCGAGCCTCATAATCTTTCCAAGCAACGACTTCTTGTTCTGAGAAAAATTGTAAGGATCACCACCTTGACCGCCGCCATCGCCCATCATGAAGTAAAGGTACCCATCTTCCCCAAAGAGTATCTGTCCTGCATGACGAGAGGTAAAAGGAAGACCAATTGTGATTATTCTTCTCACTTCTGTTGGTTTTGCAGTTGTTGCCTGAAAACAAGAATTGATATTCCATTTGAGATCCCACAAGCTTAAACCCAGAAAGCATTCAAAAATAAGCTAAGTGTTTAGAGATTTATACCAATGAAGGCTGGGATGCACTGCCGTTCACAGTGTACTCTGCAACAACACTTTGATGCTGACACGGTTGGGATCCGCTATCAGATGGTAGTTTAGAAGGATCACAATTAACGTCAGAATTACAAGAACATCTTCCAGAACACCCTGGCCACTTAACTTTGTCACAATTGAAAGAAGCAAAAAACCTTCCATTTTGTGCAAAATTTGGATGAAATGCAAGCCCCATCATGCCAAATTGAGTATCTAAGTTAACTACATCGGTTAAATCTACGAACGGTTTCGATTCGTCGAGCTCCAACACTCCTCCTGACCCCATCTTGGGAATAGTTGCCAACCAAACTTTGCCTGCTTGGTTAGAGAAGAATGCACGATTAGATCCATCAGGATGAGCCACCATGTTCAGGTAAGATCCATTTCCAATTTTCTCAAGACATAGGCCATCTGGAGGGCTAGGAAGTTTGGTATTGTTAAGGGAAACAGGTTCACCAACAAAGCAGACTGATTCTTCAGTTGATGATCCTCCAAATGCATTGCAAAAGTCGGTTTTCGAAAGCCAGAGATCCGAGAGCTTGCTAGTACTCGAGTTAGTCGGTACTCCAGCTCGACCCTGTAAAGAAGGGGCAAAGGGGGAGTTGACAATGGTGATATTTTGGCATGTATCCCATACTGTAGAGCAGAAGTCAGTGGCTGCTTGGTTGGATTGTGGTGAATTTTCTGAAGTTGAGTTGCAAAGAAGAGGAACTGATCTAGGCGTGGAATTGACTATATATAGATCTCCCGAAAATGGATCACACCTCTGTAGATATGATAAGAAGGAAGACAAATTTGGATTAAGGTTAGAGATACAGATACCACAAGTAATAAGTATCCAAGATGATCATCAAACAAGTCCAATCAGTCTATCATATAAACTAATGTCCATATCAGGTTATTACGCTAAGGTGAATCCTTACTGTAAACAAACGTAGAAATACTACGTGAGATCCTACCTCGGTTGGAGAGGGTAACGAAGCATTCTTTATAAGGGTTTTAAAATAGTGAAGCTAACAGCGATACGTAACGAGCCAAAACGAACAATGTCTACTAGTGATGGGCTTGAGCTATTACAAATGGTATCAAAGCCGGTCCCAGGCGATGTGCCAGCGAGGACGCTGGGTCCCCAAGAGGGGTGGATTGTGAGATCTCACATCGGTTGAAGAGGATAACGAAGCATTTCATATAAGAGTGTAGAAACATCTCCCTGGTAGACGCGTTTTAAAATCGTGAGGTTGACTGCGATATGTAACGAGCCAAAGTAGACAATATCTACTAGCGGTGGGCTTAAGCTGTTACAAATGGTATCAGAGCCAGTCACTAGGCGGTGTGCCAGCGAGGACGCTGGTTCCCCAAGGAGGGTGGATTGTGAGATTCCACATCGGTTGGATAAGGGAACAAAGCATTCTTTATAAGAGTGTGGAAACCTCTCCCTAATTAGACGCGTTTTAAAACTATGAGGCTGACAGCAATACGTAACGAGCCAAAGCGGACAATATCTACTAGCGGTGGGCTTGAGCTGTTACAAATGGTATCAGAGCTGGTCACCAGGAGGTGTGCCAGCGAGGACGTTGGTTCCCCAAGGGAGGTGGATTGTGAGATCCCCACATCGGTTGGATAAGGGAATGAAGCTTTCTTTATAAGGATGTGGAAACCTCTCCCTAATTAGACGTGTTTTAAAACCGTGAGGCTGACAACGATACGTAATGAGCCAAAGTGGATAATATCTACTAGCGGTGGGCTTGAGCTGTTACAAATGGTATCAAAGCTGGTCACCAGGAGGTGTGCCAGCAAGGACGTGTGTTCCTCAAAGGAGGTGGACTATGAGATCCCACATCAGTTGGATAAGGAAACGAAACATTCTTTATAAGAGTGTGGAAACCTCTCCCTAACAGACACATTTTAAAACCGTAAGGCTGATAGCGATACGTAACGAGCCAAAATGGACAATATCTACTCGCAGTGGGCTTAGGCTGTTACAAATGGTACCAGAGCCAGTCACCCGGCGGTGTGCACAGTGGAAGAACAGGTGAAAAGAGAGATAGCAGAAACCAACTTCTCTTTAGAAATCATTTAGCTATTATCTTATCATGACATAGTTCCTATAGAACCTCCCCAAAAGCATCAAGCAAACAGGCTACACACTAAGCATTAATATATATTGCTTTAGGGATCAACAAGGCTTACCGCACAGACAATGGATTTAACAAGGGAAGAACAGGCAGGATCAGAAATGTTCATCTCTTGGAATTGTCTCTGTATATTGCCATCTTGTGTAGAGTTGCAGCAAACACTCCCCTTATAAGGACAAAACTCCAATGTAGAGTTCAAAGTAGAGGGCGCCGCTACAGAGAAAAAGGGTTTTCAGTAGAATAAGTAAACATTAAACCAAGTAAAAGAGAAGAACAAGAACCTACTTGAATCAGAGCACAAGGGAAGTGAAACTGTAGGATGAACAAGCAGCAGAAGCCCACAGAGGAAGAGGATGAACCCAATGAAACGCCCCATAGCCCCAAATAGATGAAGAACAGAGAGAGCTAGAGAGAGAGGAAAAGAGATGTTCTTCAGTCCATCCCTTGGGATAAGCTCAGGAAAACCAGGACATACGGTAGAAAGATTGTAAATAGTCTAAAAGGGCTGTCAGTCAGCATTTCAAGCTAAAAGAAAAGACAACATGGTGGCCATGACTGACTTCAAAATCTCATACCCTTGGACTTTGTTTAATCCCATTTTCAAAACGCACTGTCTGTGTCAAGAAATGATAAATTACAAACCCCTTTGGATCCCCTTCAAGATCTCGACATGTTTCCTTCGAATCATATGAATATTATAGGTCAAATATATCAGAGCTTCTTTTATTAATGGATATTGAAAACCTGTTTCATTGGCTTTACTTGCATTTGCTGTCGAATTGAATACGGTTGTTGAGAAACCCACTGGTTCTGAGAAAGAAATTCAAGTCGGATAAGGCTACCCGTTGAATGGAAATTTCGTCGCCGTAGCTCCAATCAATCGTTTCCGAACCTAACTCCACCAAAAAGTGAACCGAAAGGACAAAAGTTTCAAATTTTAGAGGAACCCACTTGGATTTATTAATGGGAAAACAAGAATTGTAATGATGGGTTGGAAGTGGCGAAAGGGAAAAGTTGAAATCAAAATGGGTAGTAGCAGGATGATGCGTATAAAGGATAGGGACGTAGTCAACGTGAGTTAATGACTCACGCTTACTAAGAATTTCTTGTTGAAGACCTACAATTGCAATGATCTATCTCCATCACGATGAAATTTCAAAGCGAGCCTGTCGGCCAAGGCTATAGACTCGTTGAATACATCCGTGTGGCGCGCGTACGACCTATAACATTTCAGGGTATCAGCCTCAAATTTTCTTGGTCTAAGCGGTCATAGTCCCTCTAGGATCGTCTTCTTCGTCGATTTTGCTAATACCAATTCTAATTTGTGTTTCTCATTTATACAGCACGTCTTAGTAGAATTATTGTGATTGTTATTCATAATTTGTCCACATGCACTTGTTTCAGGTTAAACAAAAGAATCCAAAATTTATATATTCTATGCCATTTGGAAGGTTTGAGAGGTGACCCAACAATTTTTTATTCAGCACTAAGGTTAGTGGTCTTTACTTTTTTCTTTTGGTGAAAGTCCAAGTAAGATCGTGATGATGAGCTAATGATGATTCGTTCATGCTGTAGGCAAGTTGAATGGGTAAGTTAATTCTAGCCAATTATATTAGGGGTAGGATTATCTAGCCAGGTCACATTAATGAACATGTTGTAAAATCTATTAGCTTGACACCCCTCGATCTAAATATTGACGTACGTGTTAAACATGTTGGACATAAAAAGTGATATAAGACTTAGCTCCACCTGGTCTATATGTGTTAAACATGTTGGACATAAAAAGTGATATAAGACTTAGCTCCACCTGGTCTAAAACATGTTGATGACAAAAACACGATACCAAGTATGCTCTTTGCACGTTAGTTCAACACCTCGACTGTGGACTTGTGTGGAACGTGCGAGTTTTTCATTTTTCTTTGGGTGATAGAAGAAAAGAATCCGAACAAAGAATTCACTCACATGATTGTATCAAATCTAAAAAAATAAATTCTCTCCAATTTTATCTGAATTGTTTATCTTAACAGATGGATTTAAGAGAGAAATCCAGAGCTGCTTCAATTGCTTCAATGAAATAACGAGGCCAAGCTTCCTTAACAACCGTCAGTAGCAAGCCCCAGAAAGTAAGGGTAAGATTAGCTTGGCATCTATTCGAAATAGAATCTGATGAACAATTTCCAATTTTTCCAAAGTATAAGACTGTCTACATGACACAATACAAGGCCTAAGTTAATGCCCCTACCAAGAAATGCAGCAGTACCACTAATGCAGGTATATACTACCCTCTATGATGCGGCAAAGCAAACCTTGAAGACAAGAGGCAATGATGATCCCCAAATCTGCCCTCAGTTCGGTTTCTTTAGAGCTCGAAGACAGTTCGACCATCTATAGAGTGAACCGATTCAAGTAAGTTCGTACAAGCCATTTGTTTCTCCTCCTTTCTTCCAATATAAACTGGTTCAACGTCTCATCCATCAAGAGCGCCGAGGGCTTTCATGTCCTCCAAAAATGCCATATATGAGTCGTCAATACTCTGTTTCTTAGGGGCTGATGAGGAGCTGATCAACTCCGGTTTCCCTACAATAGAAGCTGTGGGAATGGATGGTGCTGCTGCAGTTGATGGAGAAGGCTTCGGTTTCGCTTTCGGTGCTGCAATCTCTCTTCTTACTCTCACTGATGCCGGAACCTGAATAAGTGACATGGTATAAGTTTGCAAGATACTCCTGAGGTTAGAGCAGATTAAGATAAATTGTATAGTGAAGCTTTCTAATTCCCAAATGCTATGGACCAAAGCTACATGTTGGTTTAGGTTGAACTGCTTAGACAAACACATCTCAACGTATAAATTTCATGTATAGTAAAAACATCATAATTTTCTCCTTACCTCCATATTCAGGTAGCTTGAACACTTGTCAAGGGCGGAACTGCCCGAAAATTCCTTTTTCGGGTGTGAAAGCATGAATTGCCCTTGACCAGCCCCCAATTCACTCCCCTTTTGTGATACATTTCAAAACATGTACCTTCTTCTAAATGCTCTTCGCTAATATTGAAGTTATTAAAGAAATTTTACTTAAGTTGGGTTGAAATCAAAGATTCAAGCTACGAAAGCAGACAACCAAATTATAAATCTAATCAGTTTAGTTTAAGTAGGTGGCTAATTATAAGTTATAGTTATCTTCTTGTAATATATTTCCTTGTCTTTAGCAAATAGTATCCATTCCCTGAGAGCTTGCCAGCCATATAGAACAGCTGCCAGCTTGGAATATTTTATATTAAACTCGCTAATGAAGGGAAAGTTTGTGGTACTAAGCGATGGTGTACCCTAGCATTCCTAGTATCAATGACAGCACATTTTTAGAGTCAAATTGCACCAGACTAGCATATTAAGACATCTTACCATTGCTGTAAGTTCTGGAGTATGCTGAGCTAGTGGACGCTTAACAACAGTCGACGCAGCAGATTTAACATACGAGGGCTTTTGAGGGACAGGTGGCATATGTAGGTTATGGTCATCCTCATGAAAAGTGGGAGGAGGGCCAGGAGGAAGAGGTGGTCTCATCATGGGTGGAGGTCCAAGGGGAGGCCCAAATGGAGGCCTTGCCATTAACGGGACCATCATTCCGGGCGGGAGCGGGAGTCCAGGTTGAGATAATGTTGGCCGCATATCTGGCGGAGGTGGAGGTGGGGGAAATCGAGAAATTCCAGGGGGTAATACATCGGGATGCAAGGTTGGTATCAATGAAGGCCCAGGTACTGGAGGAGGTCTTGGAGGTGGAGGTGGAGGAACCAGTTTAGAAACGTCTTTAGCCACTGAAGAATTATTTGTCTCCTCATCACCTGATACGCCTTCAGAATGATCGTTTGCAGACTTTAGAGGCATCCCAGGTGGGGGAGGAGGTGGCGGGAGAGTAGTCGGCACCTAAATGAAGGAGACCAATAAGAATGTTAGCTTGCTAACAGTTATTATAGATAAGTACTTACAGGTTATGTAACTAAACATATACAACATGCATATAGCTCTTTTCTACGCACAGACAAGTCAAGTAAAGAAACCAGGACCCAGGCTAGTTAACTTATCTCACATGGTGTAGTGAGTGAACCTCAGCCACTTTCAGTTCCATTCCATGAAGGAGAAGTTAAACAAAGAGATTACCTGTGCTGGCCCCTTGGAGGTTGAATCGTCCAAAAATGCAGGCCGACTTCTATCCTTTTCACCTTCGCTGGATCCAGGAGGGTGCATCATAGTTGACTGCTGCAAAGATGGAGGCAGCATAAAGGGAGGGCGACCAGCAACTTGTTCCCTTGGTGGAGGTCCAGGAGGTGGTGGAGGCAACGATTGTAAACCCATGTTTGATGTTACAGGCTTAGGTGGCAACGGCGGAGGAGGAGGTAGAGGTAAAGAATCAGGTGGAGCTGAACCATCAGCAGAGCCCATGTTAGCAGATTCCGGCAAAGGAGGGGGTGGGGGAGGTGGAGGTACAGCCAAGGGAACATCCTCTGGCTCCATGTTTGAGGATGATGCAACACCACTTGTAGAAGCATCAGACAGAGGAGCTCTTGGTCCTATGTATTCAGACAAAAATTCAGTGAAACATCGAATCATAAAAACGCCCCCGTAAATTTCTTCTTTACTGCAAGATCGAAGTGGAAGTTAACTTACCAATTGATGATTTAAACATTGGAGGCTTCCCAGGTGGTGGAGCTCCAGTAGGATTTAGTGTGGGATGGTAGTAAACAGAGTCCTGAAGTGGCAGAAAAGTATCAAATTTAAATCCAGGAATGCAACGCAACGCAAGGAAAGATATAAATGGCCAGATAATCAATTAGAGTTTGCTCACTTCAGGATTCGGATGTTTCGCTCTCTCTTCTTCCTCTTCAGCTGTTCGTCTTCTTGGAGGTCCCAAATGACTGACCAAAGACAAAAAACAGTGCTTGAATATAAATCATCCTATTTTTCGGGTTTAACAGCATGAAGATCAAAAGCAGTTTAAGTGTAAGATAGCCTTTCATACCTGAACATAACTGGGACCTCACCCTTCTCCTTCATCTTCTCTTCATATTCCTGTCCAAGAGAGTAGCAAGATGATTGTTGGGATCAAAGCTTGCTGTCAATGTGCAAACTAAAGGAAAACCACGAAGTTGAATATGATGCTTAGCTTGCATAGTTGTTGTAACATAGCCATAGAACGCAAGTACAAGACCATGGGTGGAACAGAAAAAAACTTACGTAAAGTTAACATGAATGTATGTGTTTCGATAAATAATCATATCATTACAGGGGATCAGTTCTCACTCTCCATAACAGTTATGTCTTAAATCTAAGTGACAAAATGTGAGATCTCACATTGATTGGAGAGAAACGAGTGTCAACAAGGACGCTGAGCCCTGAAGGGGGGTGGATTGTGAGATCCCACATCGATTGGAGAGGGGACCGAGTGCCAGCGAGGATGCTATGCCCTGAAGGGGGTGGATTGTGAGTTTCCACATCGATTGGAGAGGGAAACGAAGCATTCTTTTTAAGAGTGTAGAAACCTCTCCCTAGCAGATACGTTTTAAAAACCTTGAAGGGAACCCCAGAGAGGACAATATATGCTAGCCTAGCTGGGGTTGTTACACAAAATAACTTTTATGGATGAAATCTCTCGAGAAGTTATTAGATGCAAAATTACCTTCCTCTTCTTTAATACAAGATTAAGAGTATCTTCCAACTGCCTTTTCTTGTGCTTTCTAGCTTTATCGAGTGCGCCATCGGCCTCTGCATAAAAACCAAAGAGATAAACATCTTGATGTTGATCACAAGGAACCAAGATAAGAAAATAGGCCTCTCAAATCAACAAAGAAACCTGAGGAAAGTTAATAGAGTTCATAAAGATTGCAACTTACTCATTATTTCCAACTTTTGAATTTGCTCCTTGATTGTATCAGGATCTTTCTTCAAAATTCCCACCTCCCTTACCTTTTTCCTCTCTTTCTTATTCTGGTATGCATACATTAACAGTTGTTATTAGAGGTTATTGATTTGAATCCAATCATGGACAATCACATCACAAAAACACTAATAACCAAAAAAAAAAAAGGCAAACTGTAAGGGGATTTACATGGTTCATAAAAAGATTTAGTTTTTCCTCTTATGCACAAATAACTTCAACCTCCAAAGTTCTAAATTCCATAAATGCACCAAGCTGAAATTTAATGTCATGATACCAAGAATCTTTCCAAAACCTGATCTTTCTATTACTTACTATCATATGAGTCTAACACCAAGTTAAATAAGTCCAAAGGGGAACTATGTGAGATCCCACGTCGGAGGACGTTGGGCACCAAAGGGGGGTAGATTGTGAGATTCCACATCGGTTGGAGAGAGGAACGAAACATTCTTTCTAAGAGTGTGGAAACCTCTCCCTAGCATACACGTTTTAAAATTGTGAGACTGACTGCAATACGTAACGGGTCAAAGTGAACAATATTTACTAGCGGTAGGGTTGGGCTGTTACAAATGGTATTAGAGCTAGGTACTGAGTGGTGTGCTAGAGAGGACGTTAAGCCCCGAAGGGGGGTGGATTGTAAGATTCCACACCGATTGGAGAGGGGAACGAGTGCCAGCGAGAAAGTTGGGCCTCGAAATGGGGTGGATTGTAAGATCCCACATCGGTTGGAGAGGGGTACGAAACATTCTTTCTAAGAGTGTGAAAACCTCTCCCTAGCATACACGTTTTAAAACTGTGAGGCTGACTGCGATATGTAACGGGTCAAAGT